GATGGATATCAGTTGCTATCCACTTGCAAGCAAAACTCATAAAAATACAGAAGATAAAAGGCATGTGATAAAGTTTTGCACCATAATGAAATGAGGAGAGCAAACTGATGTATAAAGACTTGGCCAAGTGTATGGTGATATTTCAATGTTTTAATCTTCAAAATTACTAATCTATTAAGGTCAGAAGACAGAATTGCACAGTTATGCATCTAGTAATGGAACTGTTACAGGTAGTATCAAGCATATTCACTCTTCAACTGCAGCTTTGTAGTACACTGGTGTCTTTCTTTTTTCTTAATTTATGTGATATGATAATTAACCTTTAAATCTAGCAATAGTGATGAATTTCTCTTAAATAGTTATTATACATTCATATTTCCTGAAAGTACACATCTTTCACTGAAACTCTCTGATATATAGTTAATCTGTATCACAGAAATCACTAGCACCCTATATTAAGGGGCTATTAATTAATACTACTTTAGAACTTAATTCCTGCAAAGAAGCATACTATATCCACGTGCTAACAGAAAGCTCGTCACAATTAAGACTATGAAGAAAAAAAAGAATCCCACTGATTCTCCATTAAGAAGTAACAGATGTTTACCATATTACTTTCATTCCTGGAGTACCAGGAAACCTCTCAGACAGAGAGCATCAGAGGACCCCTTTCTTAAAATGATTTAAGCACCAATTTTTCAGTTGCAAGTTTTATTCCTTCTTCAGGGGAAAAATGAAAAGAAAAAAAAATAGAGCTAAAAAAAAAAGGAAAAGATCAACAGGACTTTCAGCACAAGTCTACTGGACTGGCAACAACCTCATCTGCAGCCCCTATCCCACCACCTTCCACTGCATCCAGTTTTACTTTGTAGTGTGCTGGTAGGAGATTACAATCATTAGATGTTTGATAATGTTAAAAGGACAGTCTGATCTCCACATGTGTAGAATGCTTCCTAATTACGCACTTCCTAATTCCATGTAGCCTTCATAGCTAAGGTTTGGATGTGTTTTTCAGAATAATAGAGATAGTAGATGCATTACAAATGGTTATTCTGCCATTTCTGCAGCTATGTTTAATTGCCAGTAAGGCACTGAACAAAACAGAGAATTAAATTAAAAGTTCAATAAACACTGATCAATATTCTTGTAAATACCAAGTCTATAAAATGATCTTCTCTTTAAATGTAGTTATACTACAGGTGCTGTGTAGACAAGCTGCATTTGAATTTCATGCAATGCTTGAAAGCCCAGTTAAATTTCTTCCCAGTAAAATTATTTTGAAACTAGGAACACTTGTTGTGTTTTTTTTTTTTTAATAAATTATAAACCTGCTTTTATTCTTAAACTGATGCTGTCTTCTGATTTTGCATTAGCTCACGATCAGCTGAATAAAGAAGTCATCTTCTGTCTAACATGTAAATAAATCATCAGCTTCAGTTACTTTACCACTAGCTGTTTGTCATTCAGGAAAATAATGGTTAATCAATGACTAATCAATGAAGATGTGTAACGTATTAGTTTGCAGTCCTTCATCATCCTATTTTCCTCAATTGCCTGGGGGTTTGTGTTCAGTACTTACAGAATCGATTACAATTGTGAGTGATCATTCAGCTCATGTTGAGAGCTGTCAGCTGTGCTTTCTGCTAGGAGTTTTTACCCTCCTGTTTAATACAAGATGCTAATATTTAGCTGCATCTGACAAGCTAGATACCGTAGTAGAAAATTTTATAAGGAGTGCTTAAGTAACTAATTGCAACACTACATGTCACTTGATGAAACTAAACTTTTCCTGACTTCACAATAATCATAAGCATTACTGGCTTGCTGTGGAAAATTAAAGGAAAATAGCTGTCTGCTTGAGTCTGATCATGCCTGCAGGGAAGGTCTAAGAAAGGCAACTGACAATGATGCCTTTGTGCATAACTGCAGGGGGAAAACAGATAATTCTTCAATTTTCATATAAACTGACATTCTTCACCATATGACATTCATGCGTGTGCTCAATTCCTTACCAGAGCCAAGAGAAGAGTTGGACCCACAGACTTTTGATACAAAACAACATAAACGAGTAACAAAGGTGTTTTATAATGAAAGTTACGTTTCACTGCTTGACAAGACTGTTTTCTTTGAAGCAGATTTAAGCTTGTCACCAACAAGGAGAAAAGATTGGCTGTTGTTCTCACACACACTCGAAGTATATTACCACCAATGTATAGGCTTATTCACTTTAATTATTGTTTTCATACCTCTCTTGGAAAACGTATGTCAGTAGTAGTCATAGGGTGTGATGGTGGAAACTAATAATTGTTAATGTATTTCATTAAATATTTAGAACGGAGCAGTATTGATTAAAACGGCGATGCATAAGCACCCATTTCTGTAGTTTTAGCTCCAACAGCTCCCTCTTGTGACTGAAGAAGAAAAGCTCACTTGCTAGAGCCCAGCTAATTTGTATGTCGAGCTAAACTTGCCGACATTCTACGCAGTCAATATAAGAAAAAAAAAGGGAGAAAGAAGTTGACTTATCAGAAAATCATGCTACTGTATATTTTTTTTTTTTACTTTAAACATGTAGTTGTGTAGTTCAAGATAATCAAGGTTATGTAGAAATTTAATCTCCTGAAGATTTGTTTGAAAATCACATTGGTAGAGAGAGATTTCTCCATTTATTTAGGGAATGTAACTGCTGAAAGTGTTGCCTGTTAAAAGTATTTTAGGCTCTGTTCTGTTGCCTTATTCTGAGCTGATGTGATAAAAAGGAAAAATAGCAACAGATTACAGGAAACAAACATTTTTCTGCCATATAGATTAAAGGCTGCACGGATGCCCACAGCACTGAAAATAATCTGAGCCTGCAAAATTTTTAGAAAAACAGCTGAAACCTCCCTTAATTCAAAACAATAAGTGCCCCATTAAAAACAGCTACAAAGCAATATTATTTACTTGCTACAGAGAACACTTCCAGTTTAAATCCTTTTTTTTAACCCTCACTTGTATTGGAAACCAAATGACCATTTGTAACACTAGTCACTGAGAACTTTTTGTTTACAGACAGACTGCCATAAACCACTTATTTTTAAAGCGATCAGAGTAACTACTGGCATGCATAGTATTACTGCACAGAACAAAACCAGAAGTGATTAACAATTGATTAGGAGACAGGTACTACACAAAAACGTATGGCCTACAAATGGCAGTGATCTTCCTACAATCAAACAAGAAACAAGGATCGTAAAGAAGCAAAGCTTCCCATAGCTATGTAGTCATGTTACCCACCACAACAAGCATCATTTTATTTTCCCTCCATTTTGGAAGAGCCCAGTGTTTTAATCTGCTTAGGTCTGCTTGGCTAAGCTCTGAGGATATGAATAAAATTCCTACTCAGAGCTTGGTTATTTCTCCTCATAAAGATTTCTACTCACAGAAATATTTAGCCAATAGCAAATTCATCTTTAAAACATCATGAACATTAACCCCAGCTCCAAGCCCTTCAAAATGACGACGCAAATAATTCCTCTGAAATCACAAAGTAAAGGAAACAACACTTTAAATCACATATGGCATTTTTGGTAGTAACTCCTATTATTTCTCATTTCTCAAATTCATGCCAAACGCTCAAGGCACACAAACAGGCAAAACAGATCCATTCTTACTTAATGTTTGGCGTTCACAGAGCATGCATGTCCAGCTAAGACAAGAACAAAAATGTGTCTGCTTATATTAAGTTCAAACTCTGAATTACTTGACTTTGCCACCTGATGCTTTTTTTTTTTGGTCTTGTATCTCCCAACAATACTGATGCTATTAACAATAACAGTCAGAAAGTACAGTGCCTCTGACGAAAATCTTCTCATTTATACCTTTACAAGCCAGAATATATTCTCACATGTCATGAAGGTACGTTTTCTAGCCTACTTTCCTTGGGTGAAATTGCTAATCTGTTTAAAAAAAAGGTACTTATTTACATCAAAACGTCTAAGCAATGATATTACATGAGAAAGACAAGAGTGCTAATTTCATCAAGGCAACTGATAAGCCTTATGAACTATGATATGATTCCTGATGCAGAGAACATTTTTCTTTTTTTTTTTCCCCTAAGATATAATCATCAAAACAATGACAAATGAAAGACTCAGAAAAGGTTATGACTTGACAAAGTAACATTTTTAAAACTTGGACACCAATCAAATTGATGTAAGTATCAGTGATGCAACACTTTCTGACACTAAAGTCTTTACCACTGTCTAAAATATATAGAATAGCCTATTGTGATTGCTTAATGTCAACTTTTGTTCATAAGCTCTTTCATAAAAGTGAAACGGGGAAAAATGATTTAAAGCAGTTCAATTTGTCTATTTACCTTAATCTTTAACTATTCCCATATGTCTTAGCTACATGATGTATGACTCGCCATAAACCAATTTTTCAAAGATATACAAGACAGAAAAAAAGTCAGGCTCCTAACCTTTTATGCACTGAACTTCCATAGACAGCTGGCAAAACAAAACACTTCTAAGCTTCAGAAAAAGCTGAAAGGTTATTCTGCTTCCTTGCTTTTAGGAAACATTTGCATCTGCTAAATAGAAAACTGTTGAAATGTTTCATTATAACAAAAAAAATTCAAAGAATAAATGCTATGTCTATGCTAGTATTTGAATCAAACCAATAAATTTACGTTAGCTATTGTAATGAAACAATTAGACTTTCCCATGGCAAACAAAATCTGAAGTTGTGCACTCTTTTCAAAAAAACAGCAACACCATACAAATCTTTCCATAAAAAAATTGCACAAGGCGTAATGTCACTTTATTGTCATATGTATAACTCCAGGCACTTAGCCTACTGACCATTTTGATAAGCATTTAGTTGTTCTCACTTTAAAATGCATCAATCTGAAGTGCAAGGTAATGCAATATACAATTTTTCTTTAGTTTAGCAAGATGTTTATCGGCAATTTAGAAAACAAGAATCATGCTATAGAAGAAAGATGACTGACTTACTCAGAGCATCCGGCAGATTGGGGCAAAGCAGACATTAGTCAGCAGGAAGTTTTTGTTTTGTCCAAGAAGTCACAGCATTGGATGTACTTGGGTATTGGCAGTAAGTAGGTTATCAGGCAGGATTATTCAGAATTGCCTACCCTAAAAACAAAAATAAAACAATAACAACATAAATAAAAACAACAGAATAAAAATATGCATAGATAAAAACAGTTTTAGTTTTCTGGTACCAAATAGACAACATCTTTAATTCTGTGTGCTCTAGTAAACTGGTGAAGAAGTATAACGTAATTTCAATTTATCTTTTAAAACTGCATTCAGACATTTATTTAAATATTTTGAATTGAAGCAAGCTTCTACATTATTAATGGACAGAATTGTGAAGTTGATATTTTAAGACACCTTTTCATATCAAAAGGAGCAAAAGCTTTTCAGCAAGTCTAGCAATATCTGTATTGCCTGTAATTTGGCATCACTATGCATTTCAAAAAACATTTAGTGTCAGAGACAGACGAGGTAGAAATATCTGACAATGTGTAGGGGGGAATAAATGTTCTAAGAGTGTATTTTCAGAAACATGTCATAATATCTGCTTGTGGTAAAATAAAACAATAGGAAGGTGCATGTATAGAAAGAAGGAAAAAAAATCTCTTAAATTTATGATTTTAAAAAAAGGAAAAATAGTTTTAATTCAAAATACTTTTTTTTTAAATATATTTTGAACGACAGAATTAAAATGGCTGTCTTTTAAACTTCAAGTAAGCTTGAGAAACTGACTGCAGATCATGTATACAATGTAGGGTCAATGCTGTATTGAATTTCTAGACCATTTTCAGACTACCTTCTGGCAATGGAAGCATTTTGACCACTGACACTCCCTATGGGTATATCTGACTATCCTGGTACAATGCACCATTCCCCATTATTGAATCTACAACAAACTGCTGTAGGTTATTCATTGATTGAGTGTTTAAGTGTATTCTTTGGGAGCAAATGGAGAACGAAATCTGTAAACAATCACACACACAAAATCAGCAGAATTCTTTGCTCTGAGATGGTTCTCAGTTTCAACACTTAATTATCTATATGCTTTGATAATAATTCTGTCAGTTTAAATAAAGATGCACAGGAATTTTCCTTTTACTTTTAAAAGATGCACCAAGCTACAGCGTGGAGCTGCACATTTTATCTTATGGAAAAATTAAGTCATCATTGGCCAATACAACTACTACAGGGACATAAGGTTTAAGCACATCTGCCATACTTTATGCTAACATCTTTATCTAGATCAATTACAATATGCACTATCACTGTTAAATAAGCAATATAGATGCAGACTGCAGCTCTATAATATTACTAATGGAGGTTAGAACAGATATTAAGAGCTACATTTTCATAAGCTTAAGCAGTAATTGTATGTGCTTGTATGTCTGCGCATATATTCAATCAAGCTGTATTTTGATATCACAGAAAAATATTCCTTTTTCCATTTTAACCAGTGCAAAAATCTCTTTCCTTCTTATTTATATAGCTTTGAGCTCATTTGTACTGCTTGTCTGCCACTATTTATTTATAGCTATTGCCTGAGTGGTTCATATAGTATTAGGAAACTTAAAAATAAAGACAGTTGTAGCATGCTTTATCATAATTCCACCTCGGATCTAACAATAAATAAACAGAAGAGGCCATCCTCAGAGCATATACAAATTGTATGATTTTAGTTTATATGATTTCATCTTGAGAAAACTTTTTGTGAATGTCACTGCAGTGCAAAACCATATTAAAAAGTTTACATTTCTTAGAATTAAGTTTTTAAAATATGTTTACCATAAATCTACAATACAGGTCCCCATACTCACTGCAAATGAAACTACAATATTATCACATTCAACATCAAAACAGCACCCAAATGCCAGAAACGTAGGAGTGCTCAGCACGTAAAGTCCTCTCTAAACATGTAGCAGAGAATTGACTGTGCTCCAAAGAGCTCAGAGATGAGCTGTTTGGAGCAAAGCACACAAGAACAACACAATGTTGAAAATAACTTTTTGCTCTATGAACTGAACTTCAGACTACCTTACAGTTCTCTTACACTAAGGTATTGAAGAAGGAGAACCTGCATTCTCTGTGCAGAAAGACTCCAGCATAAACTAAGCATGAATCACATTAGAAAACCAAGTGGCCAATTTGTGTATAACCCACATGGGTAAAACAATATTACAGTGTGCATGAAACCAAAGCCAGGCATTTTAACTACCCACGCAATGCAGGACAACACTCCACATGCTTGCTGACACCCAGGTGCACGTGGCCATATTCAGACTGCAGGTTGGATCGAGGTCTTCAGCAGGGTTCTCTAAAGGATGTCCCCTCAGACAAAAACTTATGTTCTCAGTCAATCCAGAAAGACCTGAGTTTAGACAGCCAGCGAGGAAGACTGCAAGTCGCACCACAGTGAGCATCTGCAGGACAGCACAGACTCTCCCAGTGGGCGCTGCTGAGGGGATGCTGAAGTGCGCTATTAACTTGTGGGAAGGTATTGAGTTCTTCTGCTGTCTGAGGAGGTTCAAATCCATACACCTTCAACTTCCCCAGAGAGCAGCTCAGCCATCTGCCAGAAACCCCAGCCCATGCTTTCCCTTTCACTAACATCAAATCACATAGAAAAGAAGAAAAAGCTCTATAAGCTTCTGTGGAATTGGGTATATCATCTAATTGCTTGCCAAATAACATAGGTGTCTAAAACTGTGTGAAGGAATGGAATTCATCTGTATCACGTATTTCTATAGCAATCCTGAGCATTTTGTCAGGACTTTAGCTGCCACTTCAGAAAGGGGCAGGCTTCCCCAAATACATCTTCTGACCACAAGAATATGTAAAGATACAACTGAATAATTCAGACTGTCTAAAGCAACATGAAGTATCTAATTTTTTGACACAGCCTACACCTAAACCAGTAGCCTGTAAGGTTCCCAAGGCATCTCAGATACCAGAAACAGCTTACATTTGCTTTCTTGAGAAGCACAGGCAAGTCATAATGCTAATATACTTTCTGTATTTTTGTCTCTAGTTCAGATATCTTTTCATAACAGTCTCTAATCTAAGGAGACTTGCTCACCCATTCAGGTTCTAAATAAGCTCAGAAGCATCTTACTCTTGATCACTCAGCAACTCTGTATTCATGTGTCCCTTTGGGATGCTGTTTTTATGAACTAGATTCCATGCAGTTTGTATAAAAGAGTTAATTGAGAAGATGCCTAATAGTCACTGAATCAGAAAGCACAGCAGGGATTTTCCATTCCTCCTAGTTGAGTGGCCCTTTCAGGAGTCCTGGCTTGTTGCTTCCAGGCCAACACATCTTTACAGCAACAGAGGAAGAAGAGGAGAGCAACATAGGTACTCTACAGGATAGCAAGACCTCTCCCTGGGAAGGCAGTACAGATCTGAACCTGATACAAATTTGGGTCTCCACCAATCTGACTGTTGCTCCTTCTGCTGAACCCTCAATATCAGTCATCAAAAATTCCTTTCAGGAAAACAATACCTTCTCTTTTGGTGTTATTTTATGGGTTTTTTGTTGTTGTTGTTGTTCATTTTTGCAAAGAAACAGCCCTCAGGATCAAATACCAAGAGATAACTTAGGATTATAAATAACACATGGAGGTTGAGGCTCTGAAAAATTAATGCAGTGTTTCATATATTGATCATAATCATGATTTCCTATTGGCTATTGTGTATGTTTGCCTCATCAGCGTATTTGCATAAAACAGACCAGTAAATCTGATCGTTACTGTTATCAGTATATCTTTCTCAATCAGAGAAGCCTAAGTAAAGGTTTCATCTTGCAAAGGAGGCACCAAAATATCAACTATTGATCCATAATCGCATAACAGTGACATCACTGTTGTACAGTGACCCTTAGGAGCATGTGTATGTTCAGGTCCAAACACAAAAGTAACTACAAGCTTTACAAAAAGTTTGTAAGTATCATTTCCTTGAATCTCCTGCAAACAACCAACTTCACGTTAATTCTGTTATGTTATAGGGCTTCCTTTAGGAACCTTTAGAAGTGAGGTTTTATATCGTGGGAATTTTCAGCATACTTCAAAGCAAGCCAGTAACAAAAAACAGATAGAGCAACAAGAAAAGCAGTTTTGTTTTATAATCAATAAAATTCTATAAGACTTCCAGTACACTTTCCTTGTAAGCTCATCTTGTAAGGTTGGGCAAAACTAGTAAGAGCAGTATTTAAACAATCACCACCATACCACATTCCAGTTTTCTTGTATTCTAGCTGATAGGTGAAGGAGAGAAACAAAATTCTTCCTCCGCATACTAAGTACATACAATAAAGCAAACTGTGTCTTCATAAAAAAGCTTTTCCTTAGGGACAGTTTTCTCTGCACATACCCATTTTTAAATTAACATTGAAAGTGCAGGGTACTTTTCTACACACAAATCTATTACATTGAATTTCTCACTCTTAGAAAGACATCACAACTGCATGTTGTCACCTTGTCACTGATCCAGTTTAAGTGAATCCAGAACTTCTGTTGTAAACTATGAAAAGTGAAACTTAGTCATTTTGCAGAGATGTTTCACTCCCCAAGTCAAATCTGTTGATATGTTGGAAGAAGTTGGGTCTGCAGCAATATTTGTTTTGAAGTTGATTTAAACATCTTATGCATGATTACACAAAAAAGAATGCTGAACTTGTTTAGTTGAACAAGCTGCAATTACTAGATTTTTCTGGGGAAAAGGTATTAATAAACTAAGACTCTTTTCAATGTTAAAAATTTGTTGGTCTTGCAGTTTAACAGATTCAAAAGGTCTGAAATAGAAGCAGTACAAGCATGTCTTTATATATGTACTATATAGTACTAAAGGAGTAAGTAATTTCTGAAGCTAGAGTGCAAAAACCAAATGCAGTAACATGACTTTTATAGATAGATGCTACATTTTGCTTGCACAGAGCATAAGCAAGGTGAGCGTATATGTTTGTTTTTTTTTTACATTACAGCTCAAAAAATAACTGTTGATCTAGACCAGCTGGAAAAAATCTGTTACTGGCATGTCAGTTTAGAAAAGGCTTAATACAGAAGGACAATGAAAGGGTTGCATGTTTAACATTAGCATAACAG